CTTGTTGTGCTGGTTCGGTTACGTATTGCTAATCAAAATAGCCACTTCAGTTAAATAGCATATATATTAAAACTGATGAGCAGTATTGACATTTTGATTGATGAGTTTATCAAAAATAAAATGTTAGTTTAATTTACCTTAAGTTGAAAACAAAATTATCAATTACTTTCAATCAGTATATTATTATAATTACTGCAGTGGATAAAACTATATTATTTCAATTTTAGAAGGTATAGTTATAAATAGGAAATATTAAAACAATTTGTTTTAGTTATCATAGTTATAATAAATGTTAATAGTAGGTATTACAAGAGAGGTACCCTCGGTGGCTTACTTTCATGAAACGATTTGCCATACAATACCCATGTTTATTAAATATAATATAAAACACTAAGATTAAAATATTAAATTGATTGATTTTATCAACTCAAAAGTTTTAAGGACTTACTTAATTATAAATATTTTTCTTTTTCATTTAAATTGTGATCAATGATTAATAATTATGATTGATAAGTATTATTTTTAATAACAAAAATTATGTTAAAGAAACCAAAAATATTTAAACAATTATTTTATAATTACCAAGTTTGAATAGTTAAATCCGCCAATCATAAAACTAATTAGTTCCTATCTTATAGAGTTTTGTTTCTATATTAAATTAAGTAAAATAATAAAATTCAACTGATTAAATGTAGAACTAAAAACTGTGTATTATATATATATTTAAATTTTGTTGTAAAATGTATAGCATAAACATATCATTTTTACTTTTAATTTTTAAATATTTAATTATTTTATATACCTTAATTTGAAGCTTTCTAGATACATTTTCTTTGACATTTCAAGGTATATTAAGGATCTGCTAAATGATCATCCTTCAATAAAGCTTCCCAGACGTTTTTCTGAGAAAATCTGCTTTGTTAAAACAATGTTAACAAAAAGTACCATTGTCTTTAATGTCCATAAATATCATCACCATAAGCTTTCTAATAGATTACCCAAAAGACAGACAAAGAAAGAATAATAATATTACAATATTTAAGAAATAATTGTTGCAAACTAACAGAAAATAAAGTTTTCTAAATTTGACAAGTAACACTTGAGATAGTTGACATTGATTTTGATATCTTTGGATTTGGTAATGCTAGCGAGTTACTTCGTATTACATTCATCCACAGTTTACTATCTACCCATTTTATAATACATGGTACAATACCACTTTCATCAAAATAGCTAACGGCCATGTTATGACAATATCACAAGTGTTAGAACGCGGTGACCTTCTAGTACTATTAGTTATTTAATTAACAGTGATGGCTGCTACTATTTTAGTAAACTAAATTAATAGTTAAATAAAACGCTAATAATTTTACCACCACATTCAAAGTTATTTAAATATTTATAATAATTCGGTATAAATTATGGCGGTTGACCACTAAACAGTTGTTGGTATAATAAAAGTAAAGTTCCAAACCTCGGATACTTCACGTTATATTTTCACGAAACTAATACTAAGTGGACTTAGAAATCGAGAAAGGTGAAAAGGTAATTCTCAGTGTCTATTATGTTAACACAATGAAATAAAAATTCAGTGCTTTCACTATCATAAAAATATTATATTATCAATATTTAATAATAACTCTAATCGGTTTTCCATAATTTTTGTGAATATTACTGTAATCCATATGCTACCACGCATATGGCGGTTATTTCAATTGCCAATGCTGAACTATCTAGCTATTGTATAACTATTTGTGCTCGTTAGAATTTAACTGTGTCTTTTCTCTACAACTTTAATGTTTGGCTTTTATCCATAGATGTAAATTATATTATCCATGTACTTATCAATCATTATCATGAAAACCGTTTAAGATAAATTTTATGATAGCAAATAGAATGTCCACGAAGACTAGAATAAGGAGATTTGGAGATCAATCTTATACTGCCATATAAAATTTACCGTAATGTGGCGCATTTAAATGGCCACAACGGCGGTTGTTAAGGTTGCTGATAGTTTAACTCAGTAGAATATTCCGTGTTGTTATTCATGTTTTGACTTCTTTTGGAATATATGTAACTATTTTGAAAACTATGACCCATGGTGATTATAAATATTATAGCTCGTAAAATTACCTTCTTACTTGTATATTTGATAAACATTTTTATCATTGTGTAAATAACAACTTAGTCAATCCGTTGGCCAATATCAATATTGTTGATTTTATTACAATTAAGTTTCCTGCTCCCACTGCTTAATAAAAATAAAAATATTATAAATATTAGATAAATAATTTATAATTGACAAGCTCTTGATGAAAGTAAATACTAAAGTACGTTTAATTGTTCTGTTAGTTTGAATGATAATTATTTCAACATATACAATAATTACATAATAGCTAATAATGACATAGGTAACTAATTTCATTAAATAAATTCAAGATATTTTTATTATATTGAGATTTATTTTCAATACTTTGGTTGATATTTTCATCAATAGCCTTGATATATCAGTTGCCTTTAATAGTCCCAATCAATAGTTTAATCATTTTTGTTAATTCATTCGGAATTTGGGATGTTATTATTACACCAATTTGGTATCGAATATTTCATACCTAAACAAAGTAATGCCTTAATTATGAATGAATTTTTGATTTGTGAATGTTAAATAATTACATTTAAAATGTATAAATTTGTTAAGTGCGTCGCTTGTATTAATGAATAATGCACATTATATGTAAAACAACTAAATAAATAAGAAACAAAAGTATTATGATAAAGCATTAAAAGTGGTCATTATTAATAAAAATCAACTCATCCAATCAAATTTTTACTATAAATTACTACAAGCATGTATATTAAGGGCTAGGCGTATAGGATTCAATTTGGAATAAATTAAATCTAAAAATATGGCACTTTCAACTACAATAAATTGCAAAAATATTATTTTTGTAAATGTATAATAATTTTAGGAATCTCTTAAGTCAATTTTAACTTTTGTTTGATTTTAAATCTTCTAGTTGTGAATAAAAATTATCCTTTTAAACATTTTGTTCATCGTGCACCAATTGTTAATTCATACACTAGAATAAAGTAATTTTAGATTTGGTATATAATAATATAAAACTGATAATTTGTTGAGGTTTATCATTCAATTAAAATCTAACTTGAGAATCTGTTTCAGTAATATTAATAGTCAATTCCTGGCACATTTGAAAGGTCTTTCAGATCGTTTTTCTAGTGGTATTGACAATTACAGCTTTTATATTAAACCCACAATCATTTGCTAAGGCTTCAGATCAATGCATCGAAATTGTGTACAGTTCGATGTAGAAACACCTGTATTATGTCGCATTTTTGATCTGACGTGTGATTTCCATCTCGCCGGAATAGCGACCAACAATTGCAGCCATTTACGTATACAACAAACTCCTCGTCGACATGGTACAAAGATAGTTGTTTGGTCTTCGATCATTAAGTTTGACTATATGAAAAACGTTAACACACGGGCGCATTACAATATGTTTAGATACAGATTAAATCATATAAATACAATTACTAACAACACAAAGTCGAAGGACTAGCAAAGGAAGTTTAACCTAATGTCACGCTATAATCAACGTTATCCACCACTATTTTAGTAATGTGTTTTGTAATTGTGTACTTATTGTAAATGTTTGTCGTATTTGTAACGATTATATTTCCTACTGTGATTTTTGTAGCACTGCGCTCCACTCCTCATCGGCACGATTTGCCAATGGTTTACACATGACGCAACAGGCCAGTGGTCTCGTCCATTCGGTTTTAATATATAACCTTTGTGAGCTTATTTTCGATATATTACACTGTTTGAGATTAGGTATCAACACAGCACTTCTACAGTATTGCTATTTTATAATTTAACTAATTACTACTAAAAATATATTATTAATAATAAGTGTACAATAGACTACGTACTATTTAAATTATCTTCAATATATTTCAATAGATAATCATAGTATTTCATTTGATGGTCTAAAATAAAAATAAATATATACCTACTTTATATTATTATTATTTATTTTAATATGATAAATTATAATTTTATGTTATGATATTTGCATTTATGGGCGTATATTTCAATATATATATATACGAACTCTTTTGAACTCTTTTCATGTAGGCAGTTGTTGACGAGGAAAGTAACAAGATTATGAACAATGGATCTCATAATTAATAATTATAAATTAAGTTTTACACGAGTACAATCTTATTTACATTTGTGAATGTATAATAAGTATATGAGATGTATATTATATAACTATTGTAAATGAAAGTTCTGTATGAGTGGAAATAATAGACAGATAATGATCGCGACAGACGGTGACGCATCTCATTTCTGGATATGTATTTTAACGGCGATTGTCAAAACCATACTTTTTTTGAATATTAAGGTCGTCAGTTAAATTCATGAATTTTTATGCATGAAATCCTTATACATATCGAATTTCCACGAAAATAATTATATCTTACCTATCGAGTGTAAATTGCTATTTTTATTGTAATTATTATAATGTGACTTTATATAGAATATGTAAAACCCACAAGTTTAAGGATACGTAATCAATAAAAAATGTTTTACAAATATATAAATTACTATTCGTGAACTTCATATTTGGATCTATAACAAAATGTAATTATATAATATGTCAATAAATATTCTGTTTAAAACTACAAGTTTGTATTTATATGTATTGTAACATGAGTGCATTTATGAAAAGTTTTTACAATAGATGTTGACGAGGAATGTAACAAGATTATGAGCGATGGATCACGTTATTATTATGAATTAAGTTTTACACGAGTACAATCATATTTACATTTGTGAATGTATAAAGTATATGAGATGTATATTATATAACTATTGTAGATGTAAGTTCTGTATGAGTGGAAATAATAGACAGATAATGATCGCGACAGACGGTGACGCATCTCATTTCTAGATATGTATTATAACGGTGGTTGTCATAATCATACACTTTCAGAATAGTAAGGTCGTCGTTCAAATTCGTTGATTTTTATGTATAAAATCCTTATACATAACTAATTTCCTGGAAAATAAATATTTCATACCTATCGAATATTAATTGCATTTTTTAATGTAATGATTATAATGTGACTTTATACATAACACGTAAAACCCACAAGTTTAAGTATACGTAAGCAATAAAAAATGTTTTACAAAAATATAATTTACCTAACATAGGAGCCAAATTCTCGATATCTTCAGTAACTATATACAATTATACAATATGTAAATAAATGTTCTGTTAAAAACTACATGTTTATATTTATATGTATTGTAACATAAGTGCATTCAATGTTGGCATTCGCTGTGTTTTAGATTTTTATAGAAAGATTAATTTATGTTTGATTCTGATCAATTTATGAACAGGTTTTACAGTAGTTGTTAAAGGGGAAAGTAACAAGATTATGAACGATGGAACACGTTATAATTATTTTTTAAGTTTTATATGAGTACAATCATATTTACATTTGTAAATATATAATAAGTATATAAGATCTATATTATATAACTATTGTAGATGAAAGTTCTGTATGAGTGGAAATAATAGGCAGATAATGATCGCGACAGACGGTGACGCATCTCATTTCTGGATATGTATTGAACGGTAGTTGTCATAACCATAGACTTTCAGAATAGTAAGGTCGTTTTTCAAATTCGTGGATTTTTTTGTATAAAATCCTTAAACATATCAAATTTCTAAGAAAATAAATATTTCATACCTATAGAGTGTACATTGCGATTTTTACTGTAATTAGTATTATGTGACTTTATACAAAATACGTAAAACCCACAAGCTTAAGCATGCGTAAGCAAAAAAAAATATTTTACAAAAATATTATTTACCTAACGGAGAGTTCAATACTTTGATGTTTTCTATAACAAATAACAATTATAAAATATGTCAATAAATGTTTTGTTAAAAACTACATGTTTGTATTTATATGTATTGTAACAAAAGTGCATTTAATGTTGGCATATCTTTTGTTTTAGATTTTTTTAGAACGATTAATTAATGTTTGATTCTGATCAATTTATGAACAGGTTTTACAGTAGTTGTTGACGGGAAAAGTAACAAGATTATGAACGATGGAACACGTTATAATTATGAATTAAGTTTTACACAAGTACAATCATATTTACATTTGTGAGTGTATAATAAGAATATGAGAAGTTTATTATATTGCTATAATTGTAGATGAAAGTTCTTTATGAGTGGAAATAATAGACAGATAATGATCGCGACAGACGGCGACGCATCTCATTTCTGGATATGTATTATAACGGCAGTTGTCATAACCATAGACTTTCAGAATAGTAAGGTCGTCCTTAAAATTCGTGGATTTTTATGTATAAAATCTTTATACATATCGAATTTCCCGGAAAATAAATATTCCATACCTATCGTGTATTAATTACAATTTTTAATGTAACTATTATAATGTGACTTTATACATAATACGTAAAACCAACTAAGTTAAGGATACGTAAGCAAAAAAATAAATATTTTACAAAAATATAATTTACCTTTCGAACAGTTGAATAGCTTGGTAACTTCTATAACAAAATACAATTATAAAATGTGTCAATAAATATTCTGTTAAAAACTACATGTTTGTATTTATATGTATTGTAATAGGAAGTACATTTAATGTGGGCATTTGATCTTTTTAGATTTTTATAGAACGATGAAGTGTTAGATTCTGCTTAATTTATGAACTGTTTATACAGTAGTTGTTGACTAGGAAAGTAACAAGATTATGAACGATGGAACACGTTATAATTATTATTTAAGTTTTACACGAGTAAAATCATATTTACATTGGTGATTGTTTAATAAGTATATAAGATCTATATTATATAACTATTGTAGATGAAAGTTCTGTATGAGTGGAAATAATAGGCAGATAATGATCGCGACAGACGGTGACGTATCTCATTTCAGGATATGTATTGAACGGTAGTTATCAATTTATCATAACTATAGACTTTCAGAATAGTAAGGTCGTCGTTCAAATTCGTTGATTTTTTTGTATAAAATCCTTATACATATTTAATTTCCTGGATAATAAATATTTCATACCTATCAAATATTAATTGCGATTTTTACTGTAACTATTATAATGTGACTTTATACATTACACGTAAAACCCACAAGTTTAAGGATACGTAAGCAATAAAAAATGTTATACGAAAATATAATTTACTTTTTTCCAAACGATTCCTTTGTTTGGCATCTTCTATAACAAAATACAATTATAAAATGTGTCATTAAATGTTCTGAAAAAAACTATATGTTTGTATATATATGTATTGTAACAAGAGTACATTTAATGTGGGCATTCGCTTTATTTTAGAATTTTATAGAATGATTAAAAGTCTGATACTGATCAATTTTTGAACAATTTTTGTAACTTTTAACCAAAGCATGTAATCGAAAATTGATGAATAAAGTTGAACGCCTACTGTAGTGACGAAAACTACAACAGCATAATTTTTATAGTTGATTGATGTTTAAAAATATAATAATTTTTTTAAATATCCAGTCAATGTTGACAATGACTAAGTAATAAATAAATGGCCTACAATTGATAGACAATTTGGGTAATATTCCATTTATTTACAAAAATATAACTTGAATCGAAAAAAAACATGTATTATTATCATGTAAATATATTATATTCACAAGATAAACAACTATGGTACTTCGAACTACTTTTTTTTTTAGCTGTTCGACATGCTCATCTATTATTTTGAAGTTTTGTTTTACAATGACACTTTTGGATATCCCTTACTCATAGGAATACTATAATTCCGGCAACCTCTCGGAGAATAATTTCCTTTTATTTTACTAAATATTTTGTTTCCGTTAAGTTAATAAAGATTTCGTCTAATGGGTCTATTTCTGTTATTTGTACTTTAAAAAACCATTTTTTGTACCTATAGTTGTATAAATAAATAATATTATTTTTTTTTTTATAATCTTTTAATTTTATATGTAACCATTTATATATCATTTGTACAAGCTATCTTGAATATAGTTGATAATGCTAATAAAATACAAAGTGATTTCGTTGTGGATTCTTCATGAGCATTATGTATGTTTTGTTGCACCTCAAATAGTAAATAATAAAAATATTATACTCCTATATAAATATGTTTATAATGCGACTTTAAGATGGATGGATGTGGTGGAAGACAATTTAAAAAGGATAGGAATTAATGACCGGATAAATATAATCCGTAACCGGGAGAAGTGGCGTGAAGTTGTGATAGTGCGCAAAAACTCTCATAAAAAAGATCAAGCCAGAAGAAGAAGATAAGAAGAAAAAAAAATAAAATAAGAAAATAAAAAAAAAAAATAAAAAAAAAAAAATAAAAATAAAAAAAAAATAAAAATAAAATAAGAAGATACTGCAATCTTAGAAAATTAATATATTCATGTTATTTTTTAATCAGAATATTTTTATAAACATTATATACATTTTTTTTGTTAATGTTACATAATTTGTGCTAATATTATCTCTCAGACCCAATCGGAACATCACAAATTTTCGATCAAAAGCACCGATTTTGTATCGTCTGATTTAATATTAAAGTTAAACCCATTAAAAACTTAAAGTTAAAAAACTTATCTGTGTTAACTTGTTGGATTTTTAAATTTTTTTTTATTTTTCTGTGATATATGAGTATTTTTAAACTATATTTAATTTATATTCCTCATCTTAATATAATTCTTAACACATCTACACGAATTGTGTTTATAAAAAAACAATAATAAATGAAGTATTACGGGTTTGCTTTTATAATTATACTCTTCCTACGTAGTAAATGTTCGACATTATGACAACTAATTACGATTAGTTAACCTAGCCGTTCAAAAAATGATCAGCTTACAATACCACCTGTTACAATTTAAATTTGTAATCAAATCTAGCGTGATAGATTTACAATAACCTACGCGTAAGCAATGAAGTACATAGTTCCTAAAATCTTATTTCGTTTATATTTGATTTTTTACCTTTCTTTTTAAGCTCTGTTGTTTTAATATCTAAAGAAGAAAGTATGTAATTATTAATAATTAATTATATATTTGTAGTTTTTGCTTTATATTTAAATAGTTGATTGCTTCTTAATTTAAGCAATCGTACCAATCTAAAGTATAACATGAAATAAAATAAAGTTTTATATTAATAAATAATGATGTAAAAAGTAGGTACCCATTTTGCGTGAATAGATAAAACAATGAACTTAATTTAATAGTTTAAAAAAATGATGAATTTATTAATATTTTTTTTTTTTTGTCAATATTAAGTATAAAAAAATTATAATATCGATCTTTTCTACATCGCACTATCCACGTAACTCGACGTACTCTACTATTGAGCAGATAAGGTTCTACATCACGCATTGTCCAAAACTAGAGTAGAAATATACATGTCTATACCCTAGCGCATTTATTAGATAAACACCATCTATGGATTGAAGGAAATGTATAGACAGCCATTTCAAATTAATTAAATTTGAGGTAGGTTAATTAGGATATTATATTAATTTTAAATGAGCAACTTAAAGTATTGGGGAGTCATTTGATATTGAATCATATTTTCTATGTAAATCGGATATTTTAAAGGCAGCATAAACATTAAACATATTTTAGATTTTAAATTACATTATGGTATTAGTAACAAAGATAACAGTAAAGAGAGGCGATAAGAGTAGGTGTAACTTATCATGAGATGTGAAATAAGACAGATTCCGCTTACATAGTTTTAATTTCCTTTTTTTTATGTGACGTTAAAATTATTGTAACCAATGTAAATGGAGAACTTTTATTTTAGTCGATAATGACCTATTAACCTTATTTTTTACATCGTTTATAATGCAATGATATTTCTTCTGAAAAATAACATAGACACCTGACTGAGCGATTGCGTCTTAATGTTATTGCTCGAGTTTGGAATACGAGAAGAGTGAATTTTCTAAGCGGATAGTTCATTCGTGGTTATCGGGAAATGTGTCTAGTCAGCTTAGAGATAATTCTGTGTATTAAATGATATATGTATATGTACAAATATACATAATACGATGACGACGACTACAAAATGATTTTACCTATGCGTAATATGAATGATGTGTAACAAGGTCGCGTTTCAATACACTAAAGAATGTCATGTGAACACGAGTTACGTAAATTATAGAATTATAATAAGAACTTTTATTTTTATTAAATTAATGTTATAAATTATGTTATATCAGATTTAATTAAAAAAATATTATTAACTGATAGTCTGTATCTTTTTTTATTATTCTGAATTACAAACAATAAAATGCATTTCATCTATTTATATTTTTTATAATCTTAGTTCTATTGGTAATATCTTAGTAAAAGTTCATCAGCATAATAAAATCAGTTAAAAAAAATATACTGTATTAGTTTTTTCTTACATATTATATATGACACTTCGACATTACCATATCCATTATCCACTAATAAAAAAATAATAAAAGTGTTATTACTACCTACATAAAAAAGTTTTTACTTTTTACATTCTATACTTAGTATTTTAATTTTTTTTTTTGGAATGTTGTAGTGATCTTTAACATATTTACATATTATATTATTTTTAACTTGGAGAGCTAGCATATCGTAACCTATATAAATATCTACCAATAAAATTAGTTATATTTTGACCTGTCACGAATCTTAATGACACATAATGATTTTTAAGTTTAGGTATATGTATTTTCGTTAAATAATTATATACTCACAATTAAATCTGGATTTAAGTTTCGCTGTTTATAAATGTATAATTTAAAAAAAAATAATGTAAATACAAAAACGCAGTTATGCTATTTTCATGAATGATACTCTTAACAATAATTGTTAAACATTTATTATTCTGTTCTTAATATATTATAATTAATTTTAAACATGATAATGCCTAGGTAACTATTTTAATCTCACTATATTTGAATATAATGTAAATATGAAGTAATTTATTATGTTTGGATTTAAAATTGTATACAGTTTAAATGAGTTATCTTTAAATTGTTTATTAGTTAATTATAATTTATATTAATATGATCATATGAATTACAAAGTAAGCCTTTTATGACAAGATATACAAAAGTATTATTTTATTGTACAAATAATACTTGAAATAGTCAATTTATTATATTCATAATTGAATGATTGATTGATAAGATATTTTGTGATTCTAAGTCTGTTATGTTTTATGATTAACTATCATAGAAACGATATTAGTGATTAGGTTAAAAAATTATTTATTTTAAGTCAGTTAACTTACCTACACAATCTAAGATTACAAATAAATTATAAATTAACCGTATTTAATTGAATTATATTTACAGTAGAACTATAAAATAAAATTATAATTTTTTTTTTTAAAGCTATTACATAGTTTTTATTATAAAATTTTTAATATGGAACTATTGTGATGATTTGAATGGGTTTTATTATTTATTAGTAAAATCGAGTAAATCGTTTAGTTTTATTCTTTAAGGGTAAACAAAAAGCTTTATATTACATGTGTTAATTTTGTTTAGTATTTTTTTATTTAAAATCTCTCAAGGATCATTTATAAGCGACATAATGTTCATAATTGCAATAAAAAACATCTTCGACAAAATACCTTATCCAACAAAACATATCATGTTCGCCGACGACTGCTATATCTATTGCAATGGGAATAACATAGAAACCACGTTAAGCATTCTATAATCATCATTACAAACCTTCCAAAACTGGTGCAAAGAAACCGGATTCAAATTTTCTCTGGCCAAAAGTCAATGCATTGTATTCAACTACAAACCTAAAACCAACCAACACCTACACCTAAATAACGCACCATTATTTTGACAATATACTAGGAATACATTTTGAAGACAATCTTAAATGTACATCTCATTTAAGGGTTAACGGTCTCTTTCTACTATCCATTGTTTAAAATGCAGAACGCAGACACTTTGTACGGTCTGGTAATAAAGTAATTTGCAGAACGCAGACACTTTGTACTATTATACTATTATTTGTACTATATATACACATAAAGTGTATATTACAAATATAAGTTTTATACATAAGTAGTAACTAATACATGTATAGTGTTAATTATTAAAATAGAAAAAATAAAAATAAAATTGTTATAAAATATTTCCATATTATACCATTTTTATTTTTATTAGCTAATATTCTAAAAATTTGTAATAGTAATAACTATTACAGCTAAATATTAATTTTATATTATACTACCTTTTTACATAATATTTATATTGTCATTTGACATTTATATTTATTATAGATTATTATAATATTTTTTATTAGCTAATATTTTAAAAATCATAACATCTAAATACTATTTATATATTATACTACTTTTTGACATTTTTTTGATATTTGTATTGTACATAATTTTACATGTAGTTTGAATGATATTATTAATTATGTGTTTATTTAGATTATTATTATTATAATTATACAATCAATATTTTATAATAATTTTATTTTTATTTTTTCTATTTGAATAATTAACACTATACATAATTATTAGTTACTATAAAAAAAAATAAAAATACTTTTGTATAAAACTTATATTTGCAATATACACTTTATGTATATAATAGTACAAAGTGTCCGCGTTCAGCAAAGTACCAATTTACCCGACCGTACAAAGTGTTAGGATTTCGCAATTTTAATGCCTGATCGTACAAAGTGACCTAGAACCCATTTAAGACAACTTAAAATTATTTGTAAACATAAAACTAGTATAATCAAAATTTATCCCACCACACCTGGGGAGCAAACCAAAAATCACTACCCATTGTTGGGTACAGATCTAGAATTATCGATAATATTCTCGATCATTCGTTGATGTGCGTGTGTCACCGCGACAGTGCCCGAAATTCCTAGACGCGACACCCCCTCCCAACTTTGTTGATCATTCCACGACGGTCCCTATATATACGGGCCGCTGAGATCGTTTAAAGTAGTCACCGTTCTTAATTGCCTTGGTAATTTCCGCGTAATTTTATTGTGTGAACTCTTAATTTAAGTTGATGATTGTCATGTAAATGTAAATCTCATTATCGGCTGTTGCAGTGGCGCAGTACGCGATAAAAGTTTGTTTTATAATTTATCAATTGTAATTTTTTATTGAATTAATTTTATTGTAATATTGTATTGTAATTTTGTACAATTATATTTTGATGTATTGGATAATTTACATTGGCTTTTTAATATTTTTAATACATCTACTTGCCTATACATAAATCTTATCTTAATACATACAGTTTACATGTCGGAAGACATAAATATATAACTTACATGTTTTGGTCCTTCGGGCCGGATCTTTTGCTATAATTTATCAATATAGCTCCACCAAAATATTCGAGAAACAAGAATTAACTCGAGCACTCGTCGCAAGGGACGCGGCGTAAAATTCAATACGGAAAATACATGCATTGGCTATGGAAGCGGACACGGACGAGCATAAACGACCGATATTTATCGCACGTCATGGGACGTTAGAACGTGCGGTTAAGTTGTTTGAAGCGGAGCAAAGTAATATTCTTTCGTCACTGTTTGAGTTTAAAAGGTCTGATGAATTTACAAGTTCTGATTTAGGAATTACTGAGAATATGGAAGAAATGTGTGGAGAAATTCAAGTGGTGTTTTCGAAAATACGTAGATATCATTCAACTACACAACAAGGTGCAGTCGTAAAACCCGAAAATATGTATAATGCTCGTGCGTCGTTGTCGTTGCCGAAGGTTTGTTTCGACGGTAGTCTTATCAATTGGTGCGCGATTCGAGATATGTTTACAACACTTGTTCATGAAAATCGGTCAATAACGGATATAGAGCGCTTTCATTGTTATGTATCTTGCTTATCATGTTCGGCTTTAAACATTGTCAAATCAGATCCACAAACCTCGGATAATTATGCAATCGCCTGGTGTGCGCTTCAGGATAGTTATGACAACAAGCGACTTCTTGCTACAGCAAATAAAATTGTGATAAATTATTTTCTTTTGAACGTTTACAACGGGAATCGGTATCCTCGTTAGTATCTTTTGTTAATACCTTTCGCGAAAATGTGGCTGCGCTAAAGGTACTTGGTGATACTGATTTGTCTGGATTCTTGCTATTTTACATCGGTGCCCGTGTCATTGACTCTGACACTCGTCGATTATTTGAAGCAAGTGTACCTCAAGAAAACATACCAAGCCTGGATGAGCTATTGGACTTCGCCGCAAATCGGTGTAAGATTTTAGAAAATGTTGGCGCTAACACGGATACACTGTCATTGGGCAACGGGAGTACTAAAAAGGGCAAGGGCGACAAGGCGTCCGTGAAGACTTCATTATCGACTACTGTCACTGCCAAGAACAGATTTGCTTTTTTTCGATTGCGATCACCCGTTATTTCGATGTTTAGTGTTCAAAAGAAAATCTGTCGCCGAACGGCGGGAGTTTGTCATTAAAGAAATTATGTTTTGTTTGTCTACGTCCGGATCATGAAGCAAACTCTTGTAAGTCGGCGTACATATGCAAAACTTGTGAAGGACGACACAGTGTATTGTTCCATTTGGATACAAAAAATAAAAGTTCAGGGAAAACATCAACACCAAACGTAGCGACAATTTTAAAGCCGATTGAAAGCCCCGCGGATCAGAACCTTACATCTACTAACTTATCAAGCGCTATGAAATCAGATGTGAGTGTTGTACTGGCTACGGCAATAATGAGAATACGGGACCATTTTTTCGTGTGTTGCAGGGTCAACCAATCCTTCCGGGTTACCCCGGAGACACTCAGCCCCTTTGTATAACTGCGAGGTTATCTCTTCCGGGAGGTAGCCCCGGATGGCTCCGGGGGTCCCGCCTCACCACGGGCGCCATAATGAGTGACCGCCGCGGCCAGGGCCCAACGGATTATCGCCCGAGTCAAACCCCTTCTACTAAGGCGGAACTTCCACAACTACCACGAGTCCTTCCTCAAGTGTGCCTTTCCCGGTACGGTCGAGCGTGTGTCCTCGGTGAGTCCGCGCAATCGTGCGCATCGGGTCCGACACCCCCGGAGCGTCGAGGCGCTATTAGTAAGCCGACTCGACGGGGCTACTCCGAGTCTCTTAGTACGAGGTTCGAACCCAGCGTTCAGGCCCTCGCAACTGTCTTGTCCGCAAGCAGGTTGATCGGGGTACCGCTGTGTGTACCGCGACGACCCCCTTTTAGTGCGTACGGTTTTTTTTCTTTATCGACAGATTGCTGTCTCTGCCTTGCCTCTCCCGTATCAAGCCCCGAGCCGGTTGAATACGTGCATGTGCTTCGCTCGAAGGGTGGTTAGGCCTCTCTAGTTTGAGCTCTCGATCTAGGCAAGAATTTATTTATAGGGAATGAGGGCACCCAATTCGCCTTACGAGATATCCCGTCCCACCACCGCGAGAAGGTGGGCACCCAATTCGTCTCGCGAGGTATCTCGTCCTTCACTCTCGGCTAGGCGGGTCTTAGTACGGAGGGCGTTCGTCAGTCCTGTGGGGGCGCCGTCTTAGAGCCTTGATCCGGCTATCGGGTCCCGCTTCGCCTGCCACAATCCGGTACTTCGCAGGCTTTAGCCCCGCCGCCATCGATGACAGCGACGGTCGTTTTGGCTAGACCTACTCGGACGATTTGTGCCCGCGTGGATAGGGGAGACTGTCCGCATGTCTCTGGCAGTGCGCCGTGTCCTGCACGTACGTCATCTAGCCACACGCCCTTTCCGCTATGGTTTTAAAATCAGGGGTCCGCGTCGTGCCCGCGGGATCGTCCTACATCTTTACGTTCTAGGACTTTCCGGGAAAAGTTTTTGATCGCAAGTAACATGGCCTCCGTGGAGATCATGGTATTGCAGTCGTACGGCCAGTCCACACCTTCCGCTTGCGCTGCGGCTGCGAGCTTGCTTCTTTCCTGGCAATATGTTGGGCAATCAAATTGCACATGCTCCGCAGTTTCCTCTGGAAGACCGCATTGGCAACGTGCCTCGCCTCGAAGGTTGAAACGGCAGAGCGAAGAATTGAAGTTTCCGTATCCAGACACGAACTGCGAGATGTAGTGGTCTGGAACGAACCACGACCTCTCTAGTCTGCGCCGGACGTCCGGGAACCAAATCACCGTCCGTTTACCTTTGTCACTGGCGACCCATCTCTCCTGCCAGAGGCGTATGGTAGTGTTGTAATACTGTTTCACCTTTCCAGCAACGTCTGACGCCGATTTGTTTCCTCTCCTCACGGCGCTCTTATCCCTTTCGATCTTAGCCAGCCGAACTAGTTCTAAGTCGAGGGGAGGAACTCCGGCTATGACCTGGAGCGTTAACCTAACCTAGCGCGAGATCATCCGGGTAGGCGACTATCTCTGTCCCGGGAGGAAGATCGCCGGACAAGAGCGGGTTGACCACGTACCTCCAGAGGTCGGGCCCGAACTCCAAGCCCTGCGGGCAACCCTTAGTTAGGGTCGTCGAGAGTGTAATGTCTCCAATCGCCAAGTGGGCCTTTCGGTCGTCGAGGTAGCTCTTTGTCAGGGCGATCAACCCAGAGCCGCATTTTACCTTTTCTAGATCTTTTATTAATTGCGCCCACCAGAGGCAGTCAAACGCCCCCGATATATCCAGGAATACACGCCTACGACGTATTTCTCCAGCCTTTCATCTGACCAGCCGAAGGCATGTGTCATTGCATCTACGGTCGATAGGTTCTTGGTAAAACCAAATTGTCTGGCCGACATATGGATGTCCGTATCTTTACGGATTCTCGCCACGATAAGGTGTTCCAGTGCCTTAGCTAGAACTGGGAGTAAACTAATGGGTCGGTATGACCTAGCCTCCGTCGGGTCCTTATCGGGCGATTTCTTAATGACGACCAGCGCCGCGTTCTTCCACCGGCTCGGGAATGTCCTCGTAGCCAGTGAGGTATTGAATGCCAACGTAATATGGATCTTGAGGACGGGCCACACTTGCCGCAGGTTTCCTGCCCGGGGCCTTGCATGTTTTCATCCGCCATATGGCATCTCTTACCTCATCGACCGTGCACGGCTCAACCGGGTCGAACGTCGGACTAAGCCCAAGTATTGCCGACTCGAATCTACCCACATAAACGCCGGTCTCTCTAGGTGTTTCCGCCTGTCCTGCGGTCTCCGTTGCGTCGCTATCCTCAGGGATTAGTTGTTCGAGAAGTCTCTCGCCAGTCTTCCTAAGCCAACACGTAAATGTTCCGTCCATTTTTCTGATGGACGCTGGTAATTTCTCCGAGGGTCGTGTTCCCCCGGACTTTAGCCATTTATAGACGGTTCCCCAGTTATCCTCGTTCCCGGTGCCGGTAACGAAGGAGCGCCAGGCCGTCTGCCGTGCTCTGAAGCAGGCGCGGTTATATCTCCGCTTGAGGTCTGTGTACTTCCTCCTTATGACTCTCTTTTTGAACGCGTTGTGTTCTGCGCGTAGTTGTGCTTCCAGCGTCCCAATCCGGTGAGCTCGCTACCGAGGTCCGAGCTCCACCAGAGAGGCGGTTTCAGCCGTCCGATCACGGCCCGTTTCATGTGGGTATCACAAGCCGTTTGTAGCACTTCCGAGAGTGCGTTCACACAGGGATCTACGACCGGGCAACCGAGCTCGGCTAACCGTGCTATCGTTAAAATTTTCAAGGTCTTACGGAACGATTTCCAATCTGTTTTCTTCCATAAATATCTTTTCCGTACAGCATTACCCGTGGACGGAAGGGCGTTCTGGCTGCACACAAATGTTAAGCTGATCACGTTGTAATCGCTTGACGTTAGTCTGGGTATGATCCTCCAGTC